CCAGGCTGATAAAATGAGAAAGACATTTTTCCAGAATATTCCACAACGACAACTTCATCTGGGGATTGTTGAGTCGGGTCGATTGGGGTGATGATTTGGGACGAGGGTGACGAAGCCTCGGTGCTGGTAGTCGAGGCCTCGGTCGCTAAAAGCGCAAAGTTAAAGTTATCCTGGTTCAGGTTCTTCGTTAGCGTCCCACCAGCCCTGTGGAAAAAACCATGTTTGAAGATATAGATATGGCCGAAACGCGGCCGCGTCGAGGGTCTTTTTGTCCCAGTCACGACTTGAAAGCGCTTGAATTAGAAAATTCTGATGCGATTTCTGGAATCGTCAAGCGATTCCCATCATTTAGCGGTTTTAACTTTCGGAAAGACCCCAGATTCCCCGTTTGCTGATATGGGTGCTTGACCGGACATTAAAGCATGCAAACCCGCGCGGCCAAAAACGCGCTTTAGCGCCCAAAAGTTGTCGATTTTTTTCGCAACCAAATTGATTTGCTGATACACTTAGGGAGTACCCCTGTGACTTTTTGACTCGTAGGGTCTATTCCCGCGTGTAAGTCTGAGTTTTTGGTCCTTTCAGATTGATATTATGGTTCATTGAAGGCCGCTTGCAAAATGTTTGGTGATTGACGTTTACAAGGTAACCTGTAGACGTCTGGGTGGTTGCAACGCTCGGAGTGACAACATCTGGTAATGGTGGCAAGGTGGGACCGGTCCAATCGATCGGTTCGGGTTGGGCTAAATCATCAGTTGCCGCTGGCAACTCTGTTTCGAGTGGCGCGGCTGCCAGCACACCTTCGGCACGGCTGTCGAATGTCGCGCCCGGCAGCCGTGACGTGGCACGCCTGCCGGCACGCCGCGCCGGCAGCTGGGCCGAAAACGGCTGCGGCACGGCTGCCGGCGCACCTTACGCTTAGTTTTCGGCATATAAAAACAGCATACCGCGCCGGCAACCGTGCCGCGTCTGGCCTCCCTGGAGCCGTCCAAGGCGTGCCGGCAGCCTTGCCGAAAGCTGCGCCGGCAGCCGCGCCACTCGAAACAGAGAAATCAAACTAACGGCGATCCGGCGGGAAAAAGGTGCCTGCGTCCGTGGCCACCATTGACAGAGCAAGTAGCAGAAGGAGCTTCATGTTTCAAGGTATCAATAAATAGGTGTCGGGCGATATGGTTTTTGCCAACTGCCAACTGAACCAAAGGTATTCAGAGACTGACCGGTGTTGTGTCTGCAAATCATTTTTCACGTTACTATGAATTACTCATCGCTGCTGGTTGCCGCAAATTTCACAAAATTGTTTTGTCTCTGGGTCGTGGAAGTCATTTGGAAAATTGTATACTTTCGATTACGGGTTTTCCGATCATGTTTGCAAAATTCCTGCAGAAGTGTGAAGCATTATAAATTCTATCATATATATTATTTATTCCCGTGCGGAATCAATCATTCAAATCAAGAGCGCGGCAAATGGAAGTTGTAAAAATATTCTTAAAAGGACATTCCGCGCTCGTTGGAAAGTATAAGATCTCATTAGAACATCTTACAATAAAGTGTTTTTGGTCAGGATGGAAATTCGAGATGAGACCAAGCATATCCTGATCAGAATTTTTCGGTGATTCCGAATATGGTTTCAGAATTTGCAGAATGTTCTTATTTCAAAGGTTACAGCGCATTTTAGGGTGTTTTTGGGTAACTTCAATGAAAGTCTCCTTTCTCGTAGTTTAAGTTCAGGTTAGGAGATCAAAAACCTGCTTCATAAACCCTTATCGGTACAATAACCACCGAATTATGTTATCGGCGTTTAAGGCTTTAAAATCCATTCACGAAGATCGATGTTCCCCTCCCTCGCTGATGACATTTCTCACCGGCCACCCGGCGTTATCAAGATGGCATCTCGTCTGGGCCTGTCAAAGCCATCTAGACGATATTAACAGAAATCAACCACCGGTTCTGTTTAATATTATCGATCGTTTTTGAAGTTATTTTTGCTGCAAACTAAACGTCATTTATTTTTTCCAATTTTGTATATTTCAGATACGTTCTCAACTTTGGTGGTTCTACCAGTTCTATAGCTTTCTATGAAGCTATTATTCCAACGAATATTTTGATTGTAAAATAATAATATATTGACTATTACTCCTGGAAATTCGAAATTGACAAAAATCAGGAAAAAGGTGAGGTTAAATGCTAATTAGGGAATGTAGTAATAGGATGACCAGAAAACTGAGCCACAAAGCTAATTAAATAAAATAAACTATGTGCCCTACCTATGTGACCAGAAGATCACGACCAGGGTTGTTCGCCGATGGACCCGGATCGGTAAGGATCCGGATCGGAACTGGAACCGGATCCGGATCGGATCCGCGGTAGGATCCGGATCCAATGCGGATCCGAGGAAAAAAGGGACCGGAAGTAATATTCTCGATTCTGATGCTGATTCGGTCATGTTTATCGCAAAAATACATTGCGCAGATGCAGAAATCATCTATGCATCAAAGAATTAGCATTTAACTCGGTTGCATGATCCATTTCCTTGGATCCGGATCGGATCGGATCCGCCCTGGATCTGGATCCGGATCCGGATCCTACGGCGGATCCGGATCCGGATCCGAGCCAGATCCAGATCCGGATCCAGTCCGATCCGAAAATGACCAACCCTGATCACGACCGGTTTCCCGTTTCCCCGTTTCTACGACGGCACTTAGGTATGCATTCCATAGAAGAGTTGCTTAAAGTAAAACCTTCTTAAGCCTAACCTCCTACCTAAAAATACTCAGTATTTAGCATATCAATTGTCGCACCCTGTGCGATCCCTTTATTATCTGCTTCCGGCCTATCCGGAGTCTATATATATAAAGTGCCCTCTGGGATGGCAAGGGGGCTTTTTTCTATGAGTCCGCCTCTCTCATTCAGTCGTCCAACAGGACAATGAGAACCACGATTAGTCCCTATCATATCTTATCTATTAAGCATTAATTCTTATTATTATCGTATTATATATTAAGTATCTTATCTTATATCTTATTGTAATAGGAATAAACCGCAACCTTACGGTACGTCTAATAGTATCACATAACAGTAATACACATGAGGGGAATAATATCACTGTGAGCCTACCCGACGGGGCCACATCAATCCTTCTAAACGGTATCAATCCTTTGGATTTGCGTTTTACCCGGTACACATAGGATAACGGGGGAATAACGGGGGGCACTCAAACTTTTTTTATAATAAAAGTATTTTTAGATATGCTTTTTCGAGTTGCAAAAAAAAGCTCTTAGTATATTTTTCGGCCCTGTGTCGAATGGCATTTTCAAAATATCGAAAATCATCAAAACGCCGCAAATAAATATATCCCCCCGTTATCCTATGTGCTGCCCATAGTTTTCAAAAATAGTTTTTAGGCTATAAAACTTTTATAATACATTTTTTCGCGTTGCAAAAAAATCTCTTGGTATAATTTTTGATGTTCTATCGATTCGCCTTTGCAAAATATCGAAAATCTCAAAATTGAGCTTCCCCAGGTTATCCTATGTGATGCCCATAGATTTTCCTCAATTTTTGCTTATTCAGTAAAAAATTCCATTACATTATTTTGGACTGAAATTAATTTTCTTCGTATATGTTGCGACGCTCTATCGAAAGGCACTCGCAAAATCCCACAGTAATTGCAAATTTCATCCTAATGAGTGCCCCCGGTTATTTTATCCCCCCCGTTATCCTATGAGTACCACATGCTCAGTTTTGAACGCAAAAGGAAGAGGTTAGCCCCAGAGAAGAAATTAAACATGGTATTTGAAAATATCAGTCTATTTCAGTAAGCAGAAGACAAACTTTCAACTGTGAAAAATATATATGTTGAGATATTTTGTATATTAGGAGCAGCGCTCAACGAATGTCTCGATCGGCGCGACAAAGGGTAACAAGTATGCATCTTGTGAAAATCCTTACTTCCGCTCCTGTTTTGTTCACCCTTTTAAATAGTCGTCGAGTTTCAGGAAAGCTTATAACCGGTAATGAATCTGGAATACAAAGGTATGCTGGGAAATGTGATGACACGTACAGAGTGTCCGAATACCCCCCTCCAGGCCCCCAAGAGGGGGGCGGGCGAGGGTCGAGCCCCCCCGCGAAATCGGCCGAAGGCCGAAAAGTTCATAAGGGGGAACCCATATGATTTTATTTTTCCAAAAATTTATTTGCCTGCGGCGCTGTTTTTGTCTCTTTTAAACACTATGTTTCGTGTTATCAGACCCGTGTTTTCAAAAATTTTGCCGCCCCCGAAATTTCGGGTTTGTTACGGCCCTGGCCCCCTCCCTCCGAACTTGATGTAGAAGTATCGGATCGGAATGTTAGTTAAGCCATTCGAAAGACCTTGGAACAGCGAGTTTGCAACAATTATCAAAACCATGTCTTTATTTAAACCCTTTATAACGAATTTAAAAACATTAAGGAACGGCCTCTGCAACTAATTAACGACGCGTAGAAAATGGTCGCTTCGCGGCCTTTTTCCACCGGCCCCCGTCTATAAACCATACATTCCCCTTCCGTTTTTGAAGTCTGAAGCTAGTGGTTTTTCTTTAGCATTTGGCCTGCGGCGCGAGAGCATCTTTGAATCCGTGTTTGGAAAAATATATGGGCACTGAAAGGTGAGTAATTAAAAAAATGGAGGAAATATCAGATTTTCTACGATGTCTCGGGTAAGAGAACATGTTATTAGTAGCATACATCTATTCACTTTTCCTGAAGGTATAGAAAGCATTCCCAATTAACCCGACGTTTTTTGGAGATGTTAGCACAAACGTGGTAATAAACCTCTACGGATATCAGCAGGGAGGCGACGGTATATGAGAGAGAGAGTGGGGTAAGATCCCCAAGTTTGACCACATAATTCTTAATAATTGAAGATGCCCAAATAAATGCGAACCACCAGCGTACGCCATTCCAAAAATGACAATATGGATGTTTGACAGGTTTTTACGGGAGCTGAGGTCTACCGTTCGATTCAGGTAGGTGCCAACATACTTGGTCAACTCATCCGAACATTACCACAGAGCGCAAACAAAACCGGTTCCTACGCTCACCTCGATGAAGTCTTTCTGATCCACGCCAAGAAGATGGTGGTAACTAGAGTGGCGCTTATTCAAATCAGATTTGAATAAGATTCAAATTATTCAAATCAAGCCGATTTGATTTGAATTGGAGCCGATCAAATCAAATCAAATCGATTTGATTTGAGTTTTGAGACCAGTTCAAATCAAATCCAGCCGATTTGAATAATTTGAATAAGACCTCATAGAAATGAACCCAACGCAACTCGTAATTCGTGCACCGCTCTTTCCCTATAATCTCTTAGCATTGTTCCAGCGTCCCAGTTAACGATTCCTCTTATACATTTCCTATTGTTGTTACCCGTTAGCATTTCCAAAGAAAAACCATAGCGCACGCTAAATCTGACAAATAAAACCGTCTGGCTCAATTTTATATAAAGGTCATCAAAACGCTCCATGAATTATTCTAAAGGACACCTAAATGTGCAGAAACGGCGCTACCAAAAACCGTCCGAACCGCCGATTTTCAATTTGCATCCCTGATAAGCCTGTTGTTCAAATCCCAAATCAAATCGATTTGATTTGAGTTGGCCAGCCCCTAATTCAAATCAAATCGATTTGATTTGAAGTTGATTTTTTTCGCACTCAAATTTGCTAATTCAAATCAAATCAATTTGAAGCCGATTTGATTTGAATAAGCGCCACTCTAGTGGTAACTACAAGACTGTAGCTCTTCAGAAGAATCTTGCGAAAAAAAGTAAGCCAATCTTCTTTTCTATTTCTTGCTGATTTTTTTTATTTGTTTATCACGCCGTAGCACGGTACCACGGTACCAATTCCCAGAACTCGAAACACAGAGTGAAAAGAAACGATACCGAAATTACACGGAAAATAGGACAAATGGTAGTAGGAGGATTAATTAAAAAGTGTCCGCACCAAGGATCCACTGGACAACGCCAATCGTGTCTGACTCTGCCCTTGGGCAGGCTGACAGATGTGACATCTGCTGACAATGTTTTGCCCCCGAAATGACCCCGGGGCCTAATGAGCGCACTAAGGAATCAAGTAAAACTATTAATAATAGTAATAGTATTTATTTTCATTCTAACGTTTAGTAACTTTTTGTGAATAAAATATAACGTTGGATGTTTTCATAGAAATTTAATATATTTTTACATTGGTCTAACCTAAAACCGCCTCCTAAAGTACTAATCTGTTAGTAATTTTTGTTGTAATAATTACTTTAATATTTATATTTTCACTTTTGTTTATAAACAAAAAAGTCTATCCTGAAAATAATATGTCGGTATATGTATTGTCTGCATTTAAAAACACATTTTTGTATTGCTTAACTACCGGTTATGCCGCAATTAATTTTTTGTAAGAAGTGCTTTTTAAGAGCACAGTTATTCAGTATAGCGAACAAAAATATCTACAAGCTAACTAATTAACTAGTAAGGCGCTTCAAATGCCAAAATTCACTTACAATACGTAATTGATGGTTTTGAAACCTTGATAAGATTAAAAACTCAAAACGACCAATAATTAATCATCACGGGTGTCTAACAACCATAATAGTTAAGAACAGTAATTAACTAATGTTAAAATTACAATTTTCGCTCGCAACTATGGCTTCTGACAGTGCATAAGCTCGAACACCACGTTGATTTCATTTAAAACCTTAATGGAGCCTTTATAACTTTGTAAATCCTATTTAATATTGTTTTTTACATATTATAGCGAACGAGCAGTTACAGGTCTGCTATTAGTGCGAGAAATTCCTTCCGGCACGCGCTTTCATATCTGCGCAGATGCGGATATCACATCTGCCATATGGGAGGAGTGTTAGACACGCAGACCACGATTGGCGTTGTCCGTGGCGTCCCCGCACCAATGGTAAGTCGCTTAAAACCAAAAAAACAACATTGATAACGTCTAACTATGGGAGCCCAAATAAATCCGGACTCAGAATTGGCTGAAAATTTGCACGGTGCCGTTCTTTTTTATTTTGAAGTTCTAATTTATTTTGAGTAGCCTATCTGATAGAGAATTTTTTCTGACTAGAACAGTATATTTCATTAAAATAGGCTTCGTTTAGACGACGTCTTACAGCTGTTTGAAGTAAGCTGTTTTTCATTACTCCAATACAATAATCGAGGTCCATCGTCAATTTTTCCAATTTTTTGAGTTTTTGAAAATTTTGAGTGAGCTCATTCGAAAGGAAAAAATTCCTGAATACGATGGCGATATTTATTTTTGCAAAATCGATCGGGCAGATCAAAATAATCGAGGTCAAGGTTTGCCTAGCTTAACTAAAGGATCGCCTTAAAAGTGGCTGTATCTCAAGTTTTAAAGATCAGTAGCAGATTTGGAGGACGAGGTGATGATCAGCGTGGGCGATTCTATCTGTGTGCAATTCAGCCAATTCTGAGTTTGAGTCTATTCGGGCTTCCCTAGTAAGGACATTGCAACCACAGCAACACTGCCAGGACGGTCGTCAACGATCACGGTTTGGTGGCTTCGAAGACGACCCTCTGGCTCAGCTCAAATAAATCGCGAATCGCCCAAAAAATGGCGTACTAAACTCGCTGGTAAGTGGATTCTACGCCTCAAATCTTACAGTGATATCTTTCGACAAACTTTTGATTTTTAGTGCAATGACGAATGGCCGAGATTGTGCCATGCAACGGAAATTATTTCCTGGCATGCATGCGATTGGCACTCGAATACTCGCCCAAGAAGCACGGTAAGTCAACGCTTCTTTTCTTCACGCATGAATCGATCAATATACCGGATGTTACAAATCCCCTCCAAAAAAATGGCTTTTCACGCAGGTTAGCCGCCGATTGTTCACGGTGGATGAGAAGCAGAGGAACCGCAAATGTGATATAAAGTTGATCAAAACGCTTAAACTTTGATGCCAAACTTTCGACGGAACAATCTGAATTTACGGCGCAAATCCGTCGAGAACCACGATGAGTACCCGGTATGTTATTAAACATTTTCAATCACAATTTTTTTAGTAGTTGAACGCTCCTATTCGTGGATGACGTCAAGATCAGATGAAGAAGAATTTTTTGAAGGTGAGAGTTGCGAAAACGTGCTCTACTATTTTTGGATAGGCCCAGGCATAAACATTTTCCGTGAGAACCCCGATCCTAGCGATCCTATCCAAACGCAGCCTCTTTGTTAAGCAACAAGCCAAAAATTCGACGGCCGACTTATGCACGGAACTTGACCCAGTTACACTACGAAAGTTCAAACAGCGCGCTGATCCAGTACGGGCTCAATATATGTAGCTAGCTTGGGTACATCGGGGTCGAAAGTCGTCAAGCTACAGGTAAAATATATGGTCTAAACTGAATGTACCAGATAAAATTTTCCAGGGCGTCAGCGGTGCTAGCTTGCCCTTGGAAATATAAACTTCTAAGAGGAACCCTCAATCATATTCCTGATTTGACCTTTTATAATCTGCGCGCTAGTGTGGCCATGACTCGTGGTGGAGAAGGAGCACAGGGAAAAGATGGTATCGTATTTTGAGCTGACTATTAATGCCAATACATAAAACTTTTTAATGAATTTTAATAATTTAATTTCTGAATTTTCTAACCTAATCTAAAAACCGAGCCTATGCAATTTAGGGGTTGCACGCGCACAAAACCTGCGGCGCGAAGCAGGCGGCTCACAGCTGCCGACTGATATTGGTGTGTTGGCAGGTTCGCAAGATGTTTAGGCTACAAACTTCATTTTTTTCCAGGCTTTAATAAATTGTTTATTTCCAATTGGCAAGCCGGATTTACACTGCAAAAGGCTTCTAAAGCATATTTGCAAAATTCCTGCGTAGGTGTGAAGCATTATAGGTTCCATAATAATATTTATTCTCAACACAAGGTTCACAAAGTCAACTCTTACAGTGTGAGGAATCAGGTGTAAATAGAGTGGTGGAGAGGATAGATAAATAAGGGGAAAATTATGATTAATTGTAAATATTATGAAGATGTGAAAGAGGGGGAATGGAATAGAAGAGTAGAATGACGAGATCGTATACGTATATTACTTCTTCTCGTGCGGATTCAATCAATCAAATTATGAGCGCGGCGAATGGGAATCGCAAAATATTCTTCAAGGGACATTCCGCGCTCGTTGAGAAATATAAGATTAAACTGGACATTGGTCAAAAACTCACTATAAAGTGTTTTTGGTCAGGATGGAAATTCGAGATGAGACCAAGCGTATCTTGACCAGAATTTTTCGCTGATTTCGAATAAGGTTTCAGAATTGGCAGAATGCTCATATTTCAAAAGTTAAAGCGGATTTTTGGGTGTTTTTGGACCAATGGTAGGGATGGGGGAGGGCTATGGGGCCAGGGGATATGAAGGGTCTCTCTGACCGGCCGCCAGGCAGCCAAATGCTCACCGAATGGGAGCGGGATGTACCTGTAAGGTTTCGCTTTCAAATGTGGTTTGTCAAATAATAGAAAAACTTTAATGGGTTTCACATCCAGTAGGCAAGATGAGGATTTCAAGTTTCAAGCCTGTTCTTGCTTTTGGTTGGAATTTGTCGGAAGACGGCACGTGGACATCAATTCTGACGATCGGTTCTGGGATTTCTGAAAATCAAAGTGATACAGCGAAACCTCTTTTTCATAGTTGAAGTGATCTATACCCTTTCGATACGACAGTTAAGTTACATAGTTTCGGCGGTTGTACGTCGCCTAAGCCTAAGCCTAAGCCTAACCTAAACCTAAGTAAAATGGTCGGGGACCACTCCTAAGCCTAAGCCTAAGGCGGTAGCCGCAAAAATTGATACAATTGAATACACACCGGTGGTGGAGCCCTCCAAGGTGACAGCGGGCACCTCGGATGTAGTAGTCGTGGTGGTGGTAGTCGTTATTGGCTCTAAAAGTAAAGCTTCTGCTACTCCTTAAGTTTTTTCATTACATAAACCTGAGAAACCAGAGCACCTTTACGCTCTATTATTCCAGGGATTAAAAATAATGATACTTTACCCCCCGAGGGTCCGAAAATTCTCTGAGTGTTTCGCCTATTTTTTGACAATTTCGATAGAGAATTAAAAGATACCAGCCGCTTACAGCGGCTTTGCCGCTGCAAGCGGCTGGACTTCGGGCTGCCCCTTCCGATCCCTCCCCCTCCCTTTGTGATGGCTTTAGATACTTTAAAGGATTTCAATAATGAATTAAAATAATTAAAAAGTATTAAAACAACTTAAAAAAGCGATCTGGGCGCGGAAAGGGGCTTGGGGAAGGGGCGGGGAAAGGGGGCGTGGCCTCCCGGGGAGAGGGCCCCCACTCGTTTTATTAAGGCGCCACTTTCAAAGTTAATTATTTTTATTTAAACAAAAACTTTTTCATAATTTTTTGATCATTTAATGGGTTTCTGACTACGCTCTATCCAAATCCGAAGAGACCTAAGCTCTACCTCCTTTCCCCTTCGAGTTGTAGTTGGCTTCTGACAGACAGCCACCACTACTGAATTCTTATAGTTGATACCAGTAGTTATATCTTAGGCCAAAATAGGATAATATTAAATATTCACAGCAATAACAGTATTTCACGCAATTTCCGATAGCAGCATCGGGTGCAAAGCTAGTTTTGAGATTTTCTACATTTTACCGAATTTCTTGAACGTTATTCGATAGTGCGTGTAAAAATGTGCCAAAAGTTTTAATTACCGCTTCAAATAATGTAAAATAAAATAGTTATGGAAAAGAAGTAAAACCCTGTCAAACACTAATTTAGGTGTATAAATTTTAATATACATTTTTTTGCCGTTTCCGGCCAGGGAAAAATAGCTGGGACCTAGAGATACCGATTGGAGGCTTCAAAAAATCTTTGGGACCTTCCGGCTGGGGGAGCTGAAGTAAACCTTTCTCATTAAGCCAGGTAGGTAGTCTCATTAAGTCAATGTTTTGGTATTTGCACAAGGTATACTGATTAGATTTACCACCTGCGGTTGGAGCATCGCTTGGTGGTGGAGTGGTGAACGTAACTAAAACAGCTCTGATGATCGGAACTCAAAAAAAGCAAACCATGTCGAACCGTTGGGACAGTAAAGGCGCTGGTTGTGACCGCCAACATCAGGTAGAGAAGCGGCTTCATCATCGTGGCCTGTGGTATTGCAACGGGCGATGCCTTGAAAAAGTTGCCGGAAAGTGGACTGGCAACTGTAAACATGTGTGTATATATCGGACGTTGGAATGTCTGGTTGTTGTGTCTCAAAGTGTCCTTCCGATATTAATGTACTGCAATCAACTAAATAAGGCGTTCATAATTGTCTCTCATGCCATTGAAAGATTGATTCACAAAAATGTATTGGGAACTAATCATGTTGGAGTCAATATCACGCGGGAATGACTGATTTTTAGTTTTCTGGTATCTGCAAGCTTCGAAGTTCTTAAAATGGGACGACTCGGAAGATACGCGTTGAAATTCGTACAATTTTTATTCAAGTTTTAATCCCAAAACGAAAGAAACACGATAAAGCCGGCCAGGTTGATTGCCTGGAAGATCAATTGGAACAGAAAATGGCGGGTTAGCAGGTTTTTGGAGACGAATTTTTTCAGTCGTTCCCTGAAATCACAGATTTTTTTTAATGTCTTTAGTAGTCAGCTTCATGCGCTTGGACAGCTGTTTACGTACCACAACCCCAATTTTTTATCCGCTTCCACCGATTTCTTAATTTCCAGATTTGTCTTGCGATGGAAGTTGTCTAGCGGGAATACGACGACGATGACGCATGCAAATGAGGTTACGCCCACGCAGAGGACGACGTAGATTCCTAAATATCCAAAAATATGACTACTATTAAGAACTATGATGCAGCAAATTTAAGCATTTGAAGCCATTACCTAATATCGGAAAATCAACAGTTTTCGGTATTGCATCGGAAAGCATATCCAAGAGGACGGTCATCGAGACGAGGCTGGTCAGCCCGATACCAAGCTGAAATCAGGCTTCAATGGACTATATAACGGAGTATGAATGGTAAAAGCACATTTTTTAGCGATTATCATCTTAAGAAAATTAAATTAAATTGTCGCGATCAGCCCAAACCTTCGTCAATTGTTCCGCCTTGTAATTCGGAGTCCAAAACATGCCAACAGCCGAGAGCATCGTTAGAATAAAGCAGGGAAGGGCGATGACATAGACGTAGAAATTTGGGACTCTGCGGAGCGTTAGCTCAAAATTCAGCTTCACCAAGGCTTCATCTCCGACCCCAAACGAGTTGTTGAAAATTCCGAGGTGTTTCAGCTCCCATTCTCCATTGCCCTAAAACTGGTCTTTTGTATTTTAATGGTTTGTATCAAGTCAACTCCAACTTCCTACCTGGTTTTCAATTTTTATATGCTCATTTATCGATCCATTGATGCTGATGAATTTTCTGTAAACGATTACGCAATTATATCCTTTAGCTGCGGGATCATGATAAACTAAAAACTTACTGTTCATAAGCCCAAGTCATAAAGGGAAGCAAGCAGACTTGAGTGTCGAACGGAAAGGTTCCGACCTGAAAGCATCTTTATTATCTTTCGCGCGCGCGAGAGAGAGAGCGAGCGAGCGAGAGAGAGAGAGAGAGAGAGAGAGAGAGAGAGAGAGAGAGAGAGAGAGAGAGAAAAGAGCGCAGTGATCTGACTTTAAGAATTCTACTTACCTTTACTCTACAATTATTTTCCGCATAATACTGAGCCGGCCAAGTCACATGGCCACTGCTTTTCACGCATACCGTCCGGATACCTTCCGGATGGATGATCGACAGGGCCAATCTAAGAAAACTCAATTTAACGATGCACTCAGGACACATTGAACGTCCATTAAAAACTTATACACTCACACGCCAGCAATATTCGTGTCTGGTAGCCATAGCTGATCCTCGTTGAGGTATAGTTTTGTCGTATTGCCGTATTCTGCTGGATTCCAGGCGAGGCGAGGGTCTCTCCAACGCTAGAGGTATCTGATTTTAGGCCTAGCTGGAAGTGGAAACTACCATTTTTATTTGATATATCGTTGTCAAAACTTGATTCTGGGCTTCCTTAAATTAATTTGTTTCAGATTTTAGCGGAAAAAAGCAGGTTACCAGGCCGATAAGTTGTATAAAGAACAACCGAATTTCGATGTTTAATGGAGGGGTATCGGATTCTAAATCAGGGTGCTTGGTTTTGCTTGTTTTTTGGTTAATGACGTTATGACGCTAAAAGAAAAAAGACCGAACCTGAGTATTACTCGGCATCCACCCGTAGACAGGGGATAAACCTTTGTTATACCGCCGCACATTGAAAATCTCATCGTACAGTCGCGTAGCGTTGTTCATATAGTTGGAGTATGATTCTGAAGGTAAGTTGATTCGTCATTACGTCAACAGGTTCTAGTAAGGAGTGCAAAATGCGCTTTTTTACAACCATAAAGACGATGCGTTTTAGAATTGGATTACGTAACTTTTAAGTGTCAAAACACTATCAATCCAAAAAAATCAGATTATTGTCATACGTTACGCCCATTAAGATCAAATTATACCAAATCGTATATTGTTATTAAATTGAAAATAGTGTCATAAGTAAAATTCATTGACATTAGACGATTTTACCAGTATCCCCATTTTTTGTATAGTCGACTCGCTGGGAGGCCACAACCGAAAACTTGAACACGACAAGGAGGATCAATCCAACCATGACGACGAGCATGAGCTTCAAATTCGTCACGCTAAAGCACAATCTCCCGTACTTTAGACGCCCTGCCAAGCGTGTCCTTTAAAAAACGGCAGTAACACGAGTAGTCGACCCAAAAAGTCAACAAAAAGCTCCCGGACAAGGGGCTTTAGCTGATTTTTTTTTGAGGTGGCGTGCAATTTAGGTATATTCTGTTAATATTTTAAGTTTTTATATTCATTGATTTTTAATTCCAAAACGACAAAAACACAATAAAACCGATCAAATTAATGACTTGGAAGAAGACGTGGAAGCCGAAATGCCGCGTGAACACGTCTTTCTGGATGAATTTCTTGACCTTGGCCCTGAAAATTCGGTCTCTTTGGGAGGGAGCGAGAGAGAGAGAGCGTGAGTGAGAGAGACAGATAGAGAAAAGGCTTGAGCTTGGCCTGTTTTGGGTATGTTTTAGGCCTTGATCCTTAAGCTGTAATTCGATACTCGCCTTTTTGAGCTGGTTTCTAAAAATTGGAATTTGATCTAGAAATGACTAGGGCACTAATTTGCACGCGAGCACGGGGCCAAATTTAGAACGTTAGTCCTTGAGTGGGTTTTTTGTGGGTATTGGATTTCCGGTAGAAAAACCCAAGGCTAATTCTTAAAAACGTTTCGAATATCAAGAGGGTAACGAAGGAACCTAAATTTAGAAGGCGTAAAAAATATATAAACGTTCGTTCGATGAAAATTCATTGAATTCATAAAAACTATAAGGACTCTCACCAATAATCCAGCTTCTTATCCTCCTCAATCGATTTCCGTATCTCGAGATTCGTCTTTTTGAGGTAGTTATCGATTGGGAATACGACAACGATTACACATGCCAAAGATGTTATACCAACGCAAAGTACCACGTAGATTCCTAAATTTAGAGTATTAAGTTACTCTTTAAAAAACCTAAAAGTGGGAAGGCGTCCGTTTTCGGGATGGCATCAGCAAGCATTTCCAACAACACGGTCATCGAGACCAGGCTGGTGAGTCCGATACCAAGCTAAAAGACGTATTAATAGAATGATGGGGGCATTAATGACAAAAATCCGGATCCCCAGGACGTCTCTGCTAGATCGCCCTACCAATTGGAAGCCCCTTATCGTGTATTTTTGGCCACACCTGTTGCTCATCTACAATTGCTATGACAAACGTACGACAAAGTCACGCAGGCGCGAAAAACCTAGTGCCACTTTTTGAATAGGGATCCTCTGTCACTAAGGCGTCACTGCTTGTATGCGAAGGGTTATTATGATTTGTCCAAGTTTTACTTCACTACCCCTTTAGCCTAACCTTCGTCAACTGGTCCGCTTTGTAGTTTGGAGTCCAAAACATGCCAACGGCCGATAGCATCGTTAAAATAAAACAGGGGAGGGCAATGACGTAGACGTAGAAGTTTGGGACCCGTCGGAGGCGGACCAGGAAGTTTAACTAAAACGGTCCTCTTCGAACCCTAGGTTGAAAATACCACAGCAATTTCCTCCTCACCAGTACCGTAGGTAATTACGCTCGTCGAAAGATTTGATAGATCCCATTCGCCATTACCCTAAAATATGGGATGAGGAGAGAGAGAGAGAGAGAGAGAGAGAGAGAGAGAGAGACAAACTAAAAGAGAGCGAGAGAGAGACAGAGAGACAGTGAGAGAGACAGAGAGACAGAGCGAAACAGAGAGAGACAGAGAGAGACAGAGGGATGGAGAGAGAGAGAGAGAGAGGAAGAGAGAAAGAGAGAGAGAGAGAGAGAGAGAGAGAGAGAGAGAGAGAGAGAAAGTGGGAGAGAGGGAGGGAGAGAGAGGAAGAGAAAGAGAGAGAGCGAGAAAGAGTGGGGGAGAGAGAGAGAGAGAGAGAGAGAGAGAGAGAGAGAGAGAGAGCAACAAGGAAGAGTCGAAACTCGATTCCTATACCTGCGATTGAAGTTCTATGGCCGAATTAATGGTACCGTTGAGGGTGATTGAATTGCTAAAAACACAAAGCTTATAGATTGATACTAACAAAACATACTAGTCATAGATAAACGTCATAAAAGGTATAGGGCAGGTTTGGATATCGAATGGGAAGGTACCGACCTGAAAATACAATATTTAACATAGCGACCCTTGTCATCGCTGCGCTCGGATGTATTCCAGTCCCCCACCCCGAATAAAGTTTAAAGATTACCTTAATCGAGCATGTCGTCTCGGCAAAGTAGACGGTAGGCAATAAAATCTCGCCGTCGCTTCGCAGACGAGCCGTACGGATCTGTTCCGGGTGGATGAGGTCGAGGCCTTTTCTGAACATGATTTTTGAGAAATGATTTTTTTATGAACGTCTTCTATCCAAATAAAGCAGACTTTAGCATACAAATTAAAGAGCTTGTTTGAAATACCATCTGTGGAAGCATAAAACATCAATTCTAAAGTTTCCTGCCCGTTTGCGCGAAGCGCCGAAGATGCTTTTAAGCTTGTAAATAAAAATACTAAAAATAGGAATAGCAATCAATTAGTTACGCTAAAGTTAAGGCTAATAGCTAGTATTTTCGTAAACCTACACATTGCCAACATTCGTATCCGGCAACCAGAATAGCTGCTCGTTGAGGTACATCTGCTCAATGCCACCGTAGTCGTCCGGATCCCACGCGAGCCGTGGGTCCTTCCAAATCTGCAAAAAATACAAACATCCAAATTTCTAGACCATTCCTACCATTTTGATCTCTAGACATGTACTGAGAATTTGACTAGACGCGTCCTAAACGTCAATTAATTTTCAGAGTAGGTAAAAACATACCAGCCCGATAATTTGTATGTAAAATAAACGCAATTCAATGTTGCAGGGATCGACCGGAAAATCTAAATTTTGTATAAATTGTTGTGGAATCAATTTTTTCACCTTACCTGAGCCATTCTCCGGTCTCTTTGCATAAATCGGTGATAATTGGCTACTGTAGTTTCGATTCGTGAAAAGTTCTTGTTGTAATCGCGTCAAATTATTCAGGTAATCCGAGTAGATCTCTGGAAGGTTCATTATTTCTCCTTATTTATTAGCAGGAGAATAAGCTTATTTTCACAATTTAAAATTGACAGTAGAAATCGGTGTTGCCGTCTGTGATATGGTTTTAAAAATGGCTGCTTTCATTCTGCATTTTAGCAAAAGAATAGGAGCAAAAGGAAAATTGCGAAATATGCAAATCCTGCAAAAACTCGCAGATTTTGAAAGCCTTTAAATGGTCCTTAATTGGGTTTTCTAAGTGAATTGGTGATTCTAATAACCAAAAATTTGCACAAGTTTTTTTACAACTGAAACATACTTGGGTTCCCGTATTTAGTATAGTCGGTTTGAGCATGAGTCGTCTTTAAGTTGAGCACAAAAGGTAAAATAAAAAAACAGCATCAAAAAGCCAGTCCAGCTGCAAGTAACCGAACTCTGAAACAAAGCATCAGCGCCTCAAAAGTATAGTGTAGTCCCCCTCAAACCAAGCCGAGAATTGTCCATTACATAAAAGTGGAAATTTAATCTACCCCCGGCGAATGCCGTTTGCATGGAGCAATGGGTTGAATTGTGCTTTTTCAAGGGGTTGCCGTGTAGTGGAATTGCGAGAGAGTTCAGAACAAACAATTCTTTCGCGCAGCGTCAACCAATTGACCCCAGAACGGACGGGATTGGAGTGGGTTTCATAGGTGGAACTTTTGAGGATGATCTCTGTTTTTTTTGTACAAAATTGATTTTTTTGAGCTGAAGATCTCTCCCTCCCTCTCCCTCTCTCTCTCGCTCTCTCGCTCTCACTCTCTCAAATATCTTCCGCGACGTTCAGTTCGAGGCTGATTTGTAATGGGCGGAGGCAATTTTAGCGCAGTTTGCCCTTATCGTATTACCTGTGTAAAATATATTTAATTCCAAAACGATAAAAACACAATAAAACCAATCAAATTTATGGATTGAAAGAAGACGTGAAAGCAGAAATGTCGTGTCAGCACGTCTTGCCGGATGAATTTTTTGAGCTTGGCCCTGAAAATTTTGGCATCTTTAGCGAGCGAAAAAGAGAGAGAGAGAGAGAAAGAGAGAGATAGATAGAAACAGAGAAGGACTCCCCAAAATCCTAATTTCCTATCCTCGTCCGCAGATTTCTTCATCTCCACATTGGTTTTTCGATGAAAGTCCTCCAAAGGGAAAACGACAACGATTACGCATGCAAATGAGGTCAGCCCGACGCATAGGACGACGTATATACCTCCAATATATGATACTCGTGCGCCCTTCTGATTGTTACCTAAAATCGGAAAGTCCGAAGTCTTCGGTATGGCATCGGAGAGCATATCCAAAAGGACTGTCATCGAAACGAGGCTTGTTAGGCCGATGCCTAGCTGAAAGATGCATTATTGATGCAGGAAAATCCGTGTCAATTACCAAAGGATCTCTGCTAGCCTCCTCTCAATCCCACCTTCGTCAACTGTTCCGCTTTGTAGTTTGGGGTCCAAAACATGCCAACAGCGGATAGCATTGTTAGAATGAAACACGGGAGTGCGATGACGTAGACGTAGAAGTTCGGGACACGTCGGAGGTGGACCAAGAAGGTTAACTAGACGTTGTCCAAACTAGAGATCCACCACCGAATTGCACCCACGATTTGGATCTTTTCTTCGCCTTCACCATATGTGTAGGTCTCGGTAGTCAGGTTTGTAAGCTCCCACTCCCCATTACCCTGGAATTAAAGCTATACTTTAGAAGTTAGTGCTACGTCTCAGGCTGTTGTGACGCGTGCGTGCGCGTCGCGTGAATGCCTTCTTGGCAAATCCGACGCGGCCGCCCGCGCATGGCTTACGTTAAATCCGTTACCTGCTCCTTAAAATCAAGGGTCTGGCTAACGCTCCCATTCAGCGTGATGAATTTGCTAGAATAAAATTTAACGAGACCGGTAAAAAACGTACAATTCATAGACCCAAGTCATAAACGACATCTCACAGACTTGGTTGTCGAATGGGAAGGTAGCGATCTAAACTGAATAATGGAGGTTTCCTGAAAGGTATTGTTTTTTAACGGGAGTATTCGGTGGTAATATTGAGTTAGCAGGACTCTCTTACCTTAATCGTGCAAGTCGTTTCCGCAAAATAGACTGTAGGCATCATCACTTTGCCATCGCTCCTCAGCCGCAACGTACGAATTTGATCCGGATGCACCAGGACGAGGCCTTTCCTGAAGTAGTTTATCGTAATATTTTCAATTTTAATTTTGCCTTACAACCTGTATTAAAAAATAACGATTGTACCTCCTGCCAACGCCTGATGCTCTTTATGAAAAACCTAAAGCGGATAACCCACACATTGCCAATGTTAACATCCGGCAACCAGAATAAATCCTCGTTGAGGTATAGCTGGTCGATACCACCGTATTCTTCTGAGTCCCAAGCCAGCCGATCATCGGTCCAATACTAAAATCTATTTATAAAGTGCTTTACCATCATTTACATACCATTTTGGTTTGAAATAGTGTGCTCAGGATTTGGTTTTCAGCGTCCTAAAAAACAGAAATTTATTCGATTTCAGGAAAACCATACCAAGCTGATGATTTGAATATAGAAAATTCGGATCTCCGTGTTGAGGGGCTCGACGGGAGAAGCTAAATTGGTCAAGCATCGAGAAAAATACTGGTAAAGAGCATAGAAGAGCCAAAATTCTAATTTTCTCGTTGATTCTCTGTCGGGAATCTGGCCTCATAAAAGCCGTAAAAAAATTGGCTAAGCGTCGCTAAAATTTTATATAGCTGTTAAGACCTAACGGGAAAACCGCGTCGATTTAAGCACTTTCCGGTCCCTGCAAATTACCTGTATTATTCTCCGGCATCCACCCATACACCGGAGATATCCGATCATTATAAGGCCTTTTCGAGAAAAGTTCATCATATAGTGCTGACACGTTGTTCATATAATCAGAGTAGACCCCTAAATTTTAAATATACCACCGTACTTCGTATTCCAACGTACTAGGCTTCCCGTATTTCGCCAAATCAAATTGAGCATCACCCATGTGGATGATAGGGAGCATTAAAAATAGAATACGCATCAACGTTCCAGTAGAATCAGATCAAGGGCGATTTAAAAATTCGGAAGTCGAAATTTGAGCCGAAACCAGACGCGGAGAACTCTTTGCTCTTTCGCCTCGACTTGTTGAAGTGGCAAACGTCCCACGTACCCAGAACAAATAATTCCCGGGTTTTCTGCCGCGCAATTCCATTAGACGCCTATATAGAATCGAGTGTATCAAAGGATTCTGGATTTCCTCACCGAAAAGGTTGATTAGCGAAAAACCGACAAAACTTTCTTGACGACATAATAATACCACCACCCCGATTTGCAAAGCGATATGGATGTTTTTCAAATATAATCTTGGTGAATTCCTGGAGATCGCTTTTTGTCAATCAGATGCAAGAACGTTTATCAACAACCAAAATTATCATAATGTTTGATCGACCATTTAGCGAAGAAAGGTTAACATTCGAACCTTGGGGGGTATTTGGCACGAAGGATTTGCTCCACAGAACTGTGGTCGGCAACGACAGTCATATAAATGGCATTGCACCACAGACGTTTTCCCTCGCACTGTTCGCCCAGAACCGCGTCGTTGACCAACTTGAAGGTATTGTGGCGGTATCTAGCCTGCAAGAGAAAGAATTTTACCTTGCCTTAAAGGGATAAGGAAGGCCCGGTAGATCAGGTCCGGCCTATAATTGGCAACCAGCCAACCGGAATAGTTCATGCAAAAAAATTGGCAGAGAGTGGGCAAGGCAGGAGGCAGCAGAAAAGCTCTATGCTACTTTTAAAACGTTTAGAACTTTAGAATTTTTCAAACAAAGTTGATGCACTCATCAAAAACCACCGCCGCAAGTGCAAAATTTTGGAAAGATAGGCTTCATAGCAGCAAAAATAGTACTACCCGGTACAATGCCAGTACGCACTATATCGGTACGGCTCTTTTGATGGCCCTTCCTTCCATCTTACCCGCACATCTGCCAGAATCCGGGTTGCCGACTGGTTGTTGCGAAATGGGTTCCCCACCGGGTTGCCAGTCGACACGGTCTTCTGAAATCACAATGAAGGGGTGGACGGAATTTACATAAAATCGGTGGGTAAGAGTCTAGAAACCCCCCCCCCCCCCCCCCAGCCGGCACCGACTTTTGTATCTCGGCCCCCCTTTGTGCTAGCGAGCTATAAAGTATACCAAAATGTTCGCCGTAGGCTAATTAGTAAGACTACATTGAAGTTCAATCGAAAAAAAGTAGCGAAAAACAAAAATAAGGAAGGTAGAAAAGTTGAAAAGTCGGCTGGGGGGGGTTTCCTAGACTTGAGCCAATCGGTGTTCATAACACTCATTTTTATTATTTCCATTTGAAATATTGCGAAATTGAATAGTGCCGATCTGATGAGGCAGATCTTAATAACGCTTATTTTCATAATTCCGACAATTATTGACTATATCAGGTTGGAAGGAAAGTAAACGCGCAAAATTCAAAGGAAGAAAAAAGTCGACATTTATATTTTCTATATTTTTACAGAATTTCGTATGCACCATTCAATCAAACGTTCAAAATTTTCTCAGGGTTTAAATTTAGCCGAAAATAGTGTCATATTAAAATGTTACAGCCAAACCATGCAAAATCAAAAAACTTGTTTAATACGAATTTATTGTTATAAATGTTAAAGTTTCTTTTTTGGCAATTTGGGACCGAGTGATTATATTGCCATTGACAGCCTTCTAAAGACTTTGGACCTTCCGGTTGGGGTGGAGGGTGGGCATAGTTAGCCAGTTTAGCTGAAATCATATTCGTCCTTTTCCTCCGTCCTCCTCCCCCACCTGTTGATTAGGTTGAAAATTCTTGGTCGGCTGCTTGCAATACTTTCCAACTCCTTGCCACTCGCATTTCAGATGAACGCATCGGGAAGGATCCATGAATATTATCACAGCTGGAGCGCAGATGCAAAAAAAATGTAGCAAGGATCAGAAACCGCATCAGACGCTCCGTCGGCCCCACACTCACCAAAGTCTCGAGCCATGCAGCAGGACGGAACACATGGCTGGCCCTGCCTTGATCTCCCTCTCCACCCCCCCCATCGTATCTTTTTTTATCTTCAAATCCTTACGAGGCCAGAGGTCAAGGATGTCCTATGACGATTTGTGATAATTGAAAGGTACAACTCTTGCTCCTGCTCTTGCTCCTATAACTTATACAAATCCTGCCCTATCACTTTAATTCCAAAACGATAAAAACACAATAAAGCCGATTAAATTTATGGACTGGAAGAAGACGTGGAAGCAGAAATGTCGGGTTAGCACATCTTGGCGGATGAATTTCTTGAGCTTGGCCCTGAAAAGTTGTCATTTTTAGCGGCGCTAGGGTGAGAGAGAGAGAGAGAGAGAGAGAGAGAAAGATAGGGAGAGAGCGAGAGAGTGAGAGAGCTACTCACCAAAACCCTAATTTCTTATCCTCATCGACAGATTTCTTGATTTCCACATTCGTCTTTCGATGAAAATTTTCTAATGGGAAAACGACAACGTTCACGCATGCAAATGAGGTCAGCCCGACGCAGAGCACGACGTAGATACCTAAAATAGAGATTTTAGAACCGCTCGAACATTACCTAGAATTGGGAAGTCCGAAGTTTTCGGTATCGCATCAGATAGCATTTGCAGGAGTACGGTCATCGAGACGAGGCTGGTTAGGCCAATACCCAGCTAAAAAGAGGCGTTAAAGCTCACCGGGAAAAATTCCGATTACGAAATTATCTCTTCGAGCCTCCCCAAAATCCCACCTTCGTCAACTGATCCGCTTTGTAGTTTGGAGTCCAAAACATCCCAACCGAGGAGAGCATCGTTAGAATAAAGCAAGGGAGGGCGATGACGTAAACATAAAAGTTTGGAACTCGACGGAGGTGAACCCAGAATGAGAACTAAAAGGTGGTATAGTTTTGCGTAACTGACTAAACTGACGACTACGTAGCTTTGCTGACCCTCGCCATAGGTGACCGCGCCTGTCGTCATATTTCGCAGTTCCCACTCGCCGTTACCCTATAAAATTAGAGGTAATGGATCAAGGCCCTACCTGTAGCTTGAAATTAATCAATTTGCTGATGCTGCCATTTAATGTGATGAAACGGCTAAACACGAAAAATACCTGAAATAGAGAGAGAAACCAACTATTCGTAGACCCATGTCATAAACGACAGCCTGCATTTTTGATTGTCGAACGGGAAGGTCGAGATCTAGCAAAAATTAGCAATATTTGGCCGCACAGTAAAGCTATTGTCACATAAACGTCTACAAACATTTTATACCTCAATCGCGCATCCCGTCTCGGCGTAGTAAACGGCAGGCATCATAACTTTCCCATCGCTACGCAGGTGGAAAGTGCGTATCTGGTCCGGGTGCACCAGGACGAGGGCTCTCCTGAATTGTAAGGCTTTGCTTATAGAGGCTTGTATTTTCATAAACGACCTAGGAAATCGATATTCACATATGCGAAAATCGACCCTATGCTTCAAAAAGTTTTAAGTAACTTCGAAAAAGCTCTAAATATACCAACGGCAGTAGCGGAAGGAATTCCCGAAAATAGGCCACTAGCGAGGCAGAAGCCAGCTTTTTCGCGTATACAGAATACCTGCCGCAACCGGTTCTCAGTTAGACCAGTTTGTCGCTTTCGATTTATATATTTACACGATCTTTCCGTTTGAAAAACTGGTCCATAATTCCACCCGAAAAATCCGGAACACGCGGTGTTCAAAAATTGATCTTTATCAAAACTAGGGAAGGAGGTTGCGGGAAAACAAGAAAAATACCCACGTATTTCCAAGATTAATGTCCGGTAACCAGAATAGATCCTCGTTCAGGTAAATCTGATCGATGCCACCGTAATCCTTCGGGTCCCAGGCCAGCCGATCGTCGGTCCAATACTAAAAGTTAACGTTTAAAAGTATTAAATCCGGAATTTTTCACCATGTCGGTTTGGAAGAGCGTGCTGAGTATTTGGTTCTCGGCGTCCTGAAATCCCGAAAAATTGTAGAAAATCGCTAGTTAACCTACCAAACTGATAATTTGCGTGTAGTACATTTCGATCTCGATGTTTAGTGGTGCGACTGGGGAGGCTAAATTTTGCTACGTTAGGTTCGTTTACGTACGCTACGTTTTACTTAAGTTCAGTAAATCGCTTGAAGAAGCTGGAAAGCTCAAAACTCTCATTTCTCTGGACCAGGCCTCGACAGCTACGCACGACACCACAGGGCGGGTCTAAGCTGCGTTTTTGCAACAATACAACAAAAACCAAGTTTGTCGCTCCGTTGTTTCTCGTCTTTTGTATCTGTCTAGACCTAGCTAATCGGAATCGGAGCCGTATACTACGCCGAATCGATTTCACCACTTCCCAGCCCCTCTAGCCTACCAGTAGCATTGTCTGGCATCCACCCATAAACCGGTGATATTCGATAGTTGTACGCTCTTCTCGTGAAAAGCTCATCATAGAGTGCAGTCACATTGTTTATATACTCGGAATAAATTTCTAAAACGTGGTTATGCGATCGTATTTTGTATTCCCACGTACTAGGCTTGCCATATCTTGTCAAGTCCACCAGCGCGTCACTTATTGACGGCCAATCAAGTAGAAAGATCAAAGTGAAGGCAAACATTTCAGATACTGAAAGTACGAAAGTAGCCTAACGTATTGTATTGCGTAGCGTAGATCAGCACGTAGTAACGCGGAAAACGTAGTGTGGAACGTTCAAATAAAATTTAAAGTAACAAAAAGCTAGTTCGGAATCAATCTGACGCCGAAATTTGTCTTCATCCGGAACGTATGTTAACGGCAATACCATGAAAATAGTTTTTTCTAGTTTAAAGGCGATGAGAACCCAAAGGAATTTAGACGTCAAATCGCTCTACTATAGCGTGACGGCCGGCGATTCTATTTTTCAGTTAGCTAGTTTAGCTTGGCCTATGATTCGCTAGATCATACCTCCTTCAAAAATTTAATTCCAAAACGACACAAATATAATAAATCCGATTAGATTTGTGGACTGGAAGATGACGTGGAAGCAGAAGTGTCGCGTACACACGTCTTGACGGAGGAACTTTTTCAGTTTGGCCCTGAAACTCAGAAATTCGGGCACGTTTATACCGGCTCTTACCAAAAATTAAGCTTCCGGTCTTCTTCGGCCGATTTCTTGATCTCCAGGTTCGTTTTCTTGTGGTAATTGTCAAGGGGGTAGACGACGACGATTACACATGCAAATGAGGTCAGCCCAACGCAGACGACCACGGAGATACCTACCAGATATTAAAGTTACGGCAAAACCTTTTGGTTAGAAATCAGCCAAAAATTTTTAAAAGTGCCGAGCATTTTTACATTCATAAAGTATTTTGAGCAAACCTACAGCGCGTGAATCAGTGTAATGTTAAATCCGGATAAATTTGGATAGCCATACGAATTTTTTGATACCAAGTATTTTTAAAAACGAAATATCATTTTCCTACCTAATAGTGGGAAATCATCGGTTTTTGGAATGGCATCTGCCAGCATGTCCAAAAGAACGGTCATCGACACTAGGCTTGTCAAGCCGATTCCAAGCTAAAAGACGCGTTAATAATGAAGAAATTATTTTGGCTTCTATATTCCTTTAAATTACCTTGGTCAACTGATCCGCCTTGAAATTCGGAGTCCAGAACATGCCCACGCCGGAGAGGAGCGTCAAAATAAAGCAGGGGAGGGCGATGACGTAGACGTAGAAATTTGGGACTCGTCGGAGGTGGACCCAGAAGTTTAGCTTCAAATCACCATTGAAAATCTTAAAATTGTCGAGCCGCTGTAATTTCCTCTTCGCCGACACCATAGGTGTTGGTGTTTATCGTGAGATTTGTGAGATCCCATTCGCCGTTGCCCTAGAATTTCAGCAGTTATAAATGGATGTCTCGGCCACGTAGGTATGATTTATCGTACCCGAGAAAAATCGTCGTACCTGATTCTTGACGACAATGTTGGGACTGATGGATCCCGTCTGCCCAAGGAACCTTCTAAAAACAATCTGAACCGCAGAAAACTACGGACCCACGCCGGATAGATCCATGGCAGGAATTTTAGTGCGCAAACTTGGTTGTCGAATGGGAAGGTGGAGATCTGGAACGGGGGGGGGGGGGATTGGTGGACATATAATTTTGCTTGAAAGGTGTTTACCACAAGGTTGCTACCACCCGCGTGTGCGCGTGGCTTGTCAAAAGGTTAAAGTACCCGGAATGCAAAACGCGTCGGTAATCACACACATACCTGTCGTTTAAAACTTCAGCCAGAAAACCTACAATGATGGAGCAAGTAGTCTCGGCAAAGTACACGGTTGGCATCAGAATATCCCCGTTGCTACGCAGGCGTACTGCACGAATATGATCCGGATGCACATACGTCAGGCCTTTGCTGAAATCTTGGTGGCTAACAGAGAACCTTTTGGATATGTCAACATCCTGTGGCTTGTATCGGGTGGCTTCAAAAACCTTAGGAAGCTCGAGAATCGAGACTTGCAATGTGTTTCAGATACTGTTCCGAGCTCTTCAAATCCCATATAATATGATGTAACACCCTAAAGAAACCATACAAAAACGTGTCAGTTTTAAAAATTAAAGATTTGCCACCTACACGTTTGCAAGATTCGAGTCCGGCAACCAAAATAAATCTTCGTTCAGGTACAGCTTATCGATTCCACCGTAATCCTTCGGGTCCCAGACCAGCCGGTCATCCGTCCAATTCTCAAAAGCTTCATAAATAAATTTTATTCGAGGGATGTACCATTTTTATTTGCAGACAAGTGCTGAGGATTTGGCTCTGCGCGTCCTAAAATGATCAGTTTCCAAAAAAAAATTGATCATCTACCAAGCTGATGATTTTGATGAAGTAGAGGGTGATGCCAATCTTCAGGGGTTGTACGGGAGATTCTGAAACTTTCATTAAATCTTCAATGTAATACCAATAATATTGTCCGGCATCCACCCAAAAATCGGTGATAGGGTGTTATCGTAGTTTCTTTTGTTGAAGAGTTCATCTTTTAGAACGGTCACGCTGTTTATGTAATCGGAGTAGATTTCTAAAATTAGGTAAAAACTGTTTCTAAAAGTAACTTTCCCTGTTTCTCTCTCTCTCACTCTCTCTCTCTCACTCTCTCTCTCCTCTCTCTGTCTCGCTCCTTACAGCTCTCCCACTCTCACACCCATACTCTCTCACTCTCGCTCTCTCTCTCTCGCTCTTTGTGCCTTCAGAATCACAAGCTTACGTGGTTTCCCAAATCTGGTGAAGTTCACTTCCGCCAAGGTGTCTCTATACAAGTTGAAGGAAATTGCCAAAACGATTAGTCCAATCATGAAATTAATGGTAGATTATCACTTATAGCGCAAACTCCACGGACAAGAAACCGGATACTGAAGACTTTTCCAGTCAAGTCCGTTTTGCGCGAATTTTGCGTCGGCGTACTTCGCGCGTTGAAGTGCACCCAAAACAAACAATTTCCGGGATTGTGTAGTTTCGACGGCAGTTTTATCCGAACTTACTCGGGTTTCTCTCTCTCTTATTCTCTCTGTCTCGCTCTCCTCTCTCGTTCTCTTTCTCTCTCTCACTCTCTCGCTCCTGCTCTCTGGCTTTCTCACTCTCTCACTCTCTCACTCTCTCGCTATCTCTCTCTCTCTCGCTGCTTGATACAATTTCATAATGATTTATCCAAAATCCCTCAAAAATCGAACGCATATAAACACCAATGTAAACGCAAAACTCCCAAAAGTGGTAATCACAGTTCCGAGCGATAGAAACGCATCAAAAACTCGAAAAATCGGAAAATTAAAATAGAAAATTAGTAGATATCGTGAATTAAAAAGAAATAAAAGCGGTGAGCTATAAAAAATCTAGAATTGAATAAAAATTACCGAAAAGTTAGCATAATTGAAAGAAAAGTGGTGGCAAGGGAGAAGCAGTGAGATACACGGATATGTCGAAGAAATATCAGCCGATTGGGTGCCGGGGAAAAGAAGTGAGAGTGGCTTCTAGAAGGACTAAAATAAAATTGAGACAATTTTAAATAAACCGAAAAATTAGGATATTAGAAATAATATCGATTAAATACATTTATACCAGGGCAGTGGAAAAGACCCTAAATGGGGGCAATTTGAATTTTGGAATAGTTTTGCTGAATGGATTTTGTGAATTTTGCTCAATGCTACAATTTGATTTTAAACGGCTCATTTTATTAAATTTTTAGCTGATCTATGCTAAAACTTAGTTTTTCAAGTTCGTAAACATTTAGAACCACCGTTCTATTTGGAAAATTTTGAGTCAGATTTCTTAATTGACTTATTGACTATCGCTAATTTTTAACTTTTAGTTACAAAATTTCAAATGCGTTAATCAATTGCAATCAGTTTAAACAGATTTTAAAATTTCATAGGCTGGAAATGAAAAATAAATTATTCAAAATTGCGTAACTTCATCATAAAAAATCAATTTCGAAAATAGCGAAATTTGCACCCTGCAAACCTATTCCAAAATCCAAAAGTACAAAGTATGTATGACTAAATAACTACCATCGTTTCGAAGATGCAAGTAAGTAAATATCGAAATTAGGCTAGAAAAAGAGCATCGGATCCGATGACGACATCTTATGAGCGAGCGGGGATATTGGCGGCCGTGCATTCAGTGAGTAATCGTCCATATATTGGGCATACTGTAAAAATTTGCATAAATTTTGTTGTGAAAATCAAATTTCTACATAAATCGAGGGCCTGGGGCAGCCAAAAAAAAATAGAGCCTGAAATATCCATGCTATGGTGTTTCTCGCAAATCAAAAATTTGAAAAAATCTTCGTGCGGGATAGACGAGCGAAATTAACCGTTTTGACGGACATTTCATGCACATTGGGTGGGGATTTTGACATTCCCGACATAGATTTGGGTAGGGGGATTTCTTTGCTTACCCGCCGCCGTTCGGCCAGTAGAACTAGAGCGATGGGTAGTTTATTAGTGTTTTGCCAAATCGATCATTTTGTTGGATTTTTCTATTAAAAACTGCAAAAGAACTGGTGGAAATCGGATTTAAATTAATTCTTGTTCGTTAATGGGAGTTTTGAAGATAAATTCTGCGCAAAAACGACCGAAGCCTAAACAAATTGCAAGAATTATCATTTTCTCTCTTTACTTGAATGCAAAAAATCGATTTTGATTTTGGAACGTAAAAACCTAATTTTCGTTGGTCTAAATAATATTATTTTTAAAGGCACTATGAAGTAAAATTTTCGGGTGGCGAGGTCGATGGATTTGCAACTTTTCATTGGGGCTTACCGTAGTATTCAGTAAGTTTGATAGTTAATAAAGCAAAGGTAAGTCCAGTCCGGTCCATAAAGGTTAGTACAGTAAGGTATATAATTTAATTTAACTAATTCTTTAGGATTCAATGGACTGATTAAACGGTTTACAGCACTTTAGTAGATTTGAGAAGGTTTTGTTAGCTCAGGAAAAGGCTGAATACTATAAGATACCCTTGAAACGTCGTTATTGATTTTTTTAGACGCTCAACCTTTTCAACTACAACGCATTACGCCTTACTAATTACCGTGGTACCGTAAACAGTGAATTTTGAAGGGACCGGGAAGGCAGTCTAATGGCCTTTGGGCTCTTCATGAACGTACTGAATTCCTGCGAATCAAGCCCAAAAAAAAGGTGGCGAATATTAGCCTTCCCACTCCCTTTAAAACCCCCGCTTCCAAGCAAACCTTGTGAAAAACTTTAAAATCAAAAATAGTAAAAGTTAGCGGCTCACAGCGTCATGCGGGGATGCATCATCCGGAGAGTCGGCCGACGCCATCATCATATTCTGCAGGTACTGCTGGTGGTAGTTGGCCAGCAGCGGTTGGCCGGCTCGCGGATCCGGCGGTAAACCGGGGGCAAACGGACCGGACGGCCCGAAAAAGGCCCCGGGTGGGCCTCCGCTCACCGCATCTTCGATCCATCGCAGTAGATGAACATTGTGGGGCACGAATGGGGATTTTCGAAGGTGTTCTTGGACTTCCAAGAATCGCCGGAGGTCTTCGAGTGTTATCCGATCCTTTGAAGCTCTGGAAAATATTATTAAATGTATCATTAATGCCAGTGGATCCGTAAAATTTTTACTCTAGGCTAGCCAGAAGTGATTCCTTACTACTCTACAATTTTGCTAAATTTTTATAGCACCTTATGATACGCTAGGCTGTATAAAGCTACAAAAAATGAAAGCTGGCGCAAACTAGCAGAGATTCGTTAGCGGAACTGTATCATTGATTTTTTGTAAATATAAACACACAACAAGCGAAAAATAAAATATACAAAATTTCAGTCTTTGGTCCCATATCATTAAAAACATTTTCTGAGGCATAACGGGATCTAAATTTTCAAAAATCGGTGGTAGAAGCAAACTAGCTAAAATTCTTTGAGGTAAAGGTATAATAAATTCCGAAAATGCCGAAGAAATTTCATAAATTTCCAGTAGAGATTATTTGCCAAGAACCACCATTTTCTTACCTCGTCTTCTTCAAGGCTGCTATCAATCGCATCGCTTCCCGAATATCGTCCGACATGTGCGCGAATCGACCACGTGCTCCGCGGATTTTTCTGAAATTCCCCGCATAACTGCTTTGCGCCCTGTTTAAAATCCCTTTAATGGTGTCGTTAATACGCAGATAATGAATGACTCGAGATAACTTTCAGCGTACTACACTCACCGTCCAAAGTAGTGGAGCTTAGTGAACGTTCTCTTCAACGTGGAAGAGCATAGATCGAGGGACGCCGTAATCACAGCCAAACCAATGATGACGTACACGACGACTAGCTGAAAAAAAAACAGGGTTTAAAGCGCACGTTCAGGGAGGGGCCGTACACTCTTTCCAACGTATACACCCTATGGACGTAAGGACGGCGCGCACTGCCTGCCCGTGCTGTGACAGGTCATTTCCCTCCTTTGCGGCGTGGGGCGCCCCTCATCCCCTCGCCAGGTTGTAGCTGTGGCTGACTGGTATGCATCCGTGCCTCCCGAGCGGGGGGCCCGGGTTCGACCCCGGCCGCGGCAAAAATCTTTGCTTTTTTTCCAAAAAAAGGTCCCTGAACGTGCCCTTTAAAGAGCTCATGAACCCAAAATCCATAAAATCTCAATTTTTCCGGTGGGTTGGATTTCGATGTCTCGAAGACGCTCGCTTTCAAAATATCCTACTCACCGCCAAATACCAATGACTCTTCACGTAGATATTCCCGAGGCCGATTGTCGTAATTGTGTTGAAAGAGAAGAAGAGACCATGGACGAACGACCTAAAAAAGTCAATGTAATGCCGTCAAAACAATAATAATATCAAGTCATTCAAGTTGACCGTACCAAATTTTTCGACTTACCATATCGGTCCCTTCTCAAATGCATTGAACAGCAAACTACCGATGCAACAGTACCCGATGATCAGCGCGAAATAGGAGGCGATCGGAAGTTGTAACCTTAAAAATATAATTCGGGTTCTCTATAGAAGATCCCTACCGTTCATCCTCGTCTTCTGAATTTCCCTCTTCGTCCGTTTGCCGCCGTCGGTTCTTTTTCAACTGTCTAAAACAGGAAAAATGTTGTAAAAATTCTACATATCAAAAGGGATCGCTTAAAAATAAGAAAACCATACACAGAATCGATCGAATCGACATCAGACGCAAATAGGTGGTCCCGGATGGCTTCTATCACACTGGAGACCCATTCCCAGATTTGGAGAAGCTTCGCGTAGGACCTGAAATGGACGTGAGGCTATTAACAAACTAATTGAACAAATTCAAATTGATACTCTAATTCCACTTGCTAGTCCCTTTAAAGCGGCCGTCAGCACCATAAGCTACTTCGCAATTTGCTTACCGTATCACAATCTCCGACAGGAATTTTCCGATATCGGCGGCGGTGATGAACATCAGTGGAATCCCGAGTAACCCGAAAAATACGGTAAATATCCGGCCGGGATCTGTGGAAGGGGTCACATGGTCGTACCCAGTCGAGGTGATCACCGTCAACGCGTAGAGTACTGCTGCGGAAAAAGACCACCTGAAAGGTATTGATTTATTAAGGAAGCTTAGTCGCTTTTTAGCAATATGCAGATACTTTTGATTTACTCAATCTCTGGATTCAACAGGTTTTTTGCCATTTTAGAACTTTAAAACATTGAAAAATGCGAGAAACGTTATGGTTTTAATACAGCGCTAGTCTTATATAAGAATCGTAGAGAAAATGTCTTATAATAATTAAATTAACGATATTTTACCGTGTCTTCAACCCATCCGGATAGTTTGTCCACAGCTGCCCCTCTTTCGTGAATCGATCGTCATACTCGTGCGTGTTCGATAATTCGTAGAGTAGCGGTTTTAACCGGGCTTCCATCTGGAAAAATGTGAATTAATATAGTTTCAAAGCCCGATATTAATTTCCAAAAGCTTACCATCGACACATTTCTGTTACAAGTGACGGTAGCTTGGTGGAAGACTTGGCGGTAGATTTGGTGGATCGTCTAAAAATCGAGAATTTAAAAATTAAAAAAACTTAAAATTTAAATCGAAAACTAAAGGTACCAACTTGAAAAAATCTATGCTAGTTTTTGGTCTGGTTTATTAGGTAAAGAAAGCTCAAAAAGACGCTGGGAAGACAAAAAGAAGACAAAAAGATCGCTGCTAGCCTCCCAGGACCTCATTTTAAAGGCAACATGACATGAGGAACGCCTAGGGTTCCAAAAAGCTTATAAACCTCTGCTAAATTGCCTACTTTTTAATCTTCAGAGGAACTTGTCCGGAATAAAATTTCACTAAATTATACCCACCTCCAACTTTTGCTTCCGATTCACCAACTCATGCTCTGCCTCCAGCCATATAAATATCCCCGCTCCGCCGGCAATATACGACAGGAGCAGCAGGTTCAGCCCCACATGCGGCAGGAGGATTTTGAGCAACTGAAATGAGGGGATTTTTTACTTTCAGGGTGACTTTTGCAAAAGACAACCACCAAATACTTTTGGATAAGCTTTGTGAACCCAATAAAGTAAATTCATGTAATAGCTTACCTTAAATAATCGTCTCCACAGTGGTTCCATTGGGGGAAGGGCCTCTTCAAGGGGTTCTTCGGCCACCCCACCTGCGCGCAGCTCGTCCCATTTCACGCGGCCGATGTTTTCTAAACGATAGAGATATATTTAACCATATTTAAGGTATGTTAAACCCTGATTCCTTTATCGTTGTCAACCCAAAAAATCATCGCATGCGTTTTTCGCGCTTTATAGATCCGAAAAACACCCAAGATGTCGCCTTCGGAAGGTATACTTGCGGAAAAGTGACGTTTGGTGTAGTTACACTGATAGAGCACTCCATGACGACTTAAAACTACTAAAAACTTTACTTTTACGTTTAGTCGGGCTTGAAACAGGGGAAAAACTGCAAAGAAGCCCTGGAGCGCCAATTTCCGATGGAAGGTCAACAGTAATTTTTTTTAGAAAATTTCACATTACGCGGAAAAAGTTTTGCCGATCGATCAATCCTTGCTATTTATTCTGGAAGTTTTTTTGATATCTGTTGTCAAACTATAAATTGTCAGCACGATTAAAAACTGTCTAAAAATGCCGTTGAACCCCTTGAAAATGTTTGACCCTATTTTAATACAGCCCCTGGGTTGTATACGTGTAAACTACGGACGGACGTGAGCTGTATTCTCAACATAAAAATTCAACTCGCACCCTGAGTCCCAATGAACTCTCGCTCCTTCCCATTGTCCTTCACGACAGCAATCGGGGTTCCTTTAGCCAGGGGTTGAGAATTTTTTGGGGATATCGCGGATCTAGCTGATCCGGACCGAAATAGGTTTGCCGGTAGGAATTCATCCGGGATCGCAGCTACAAAGCTCAGATCCGAGATGGGGAGTTGGAGGGTGGCTTGGCGGGTGCGGACATGTTGAAAAATACGGCCAACGCCTGCTGAACCCATTTTTAAGGGTTTAAAGGGACGCTGACAGCTATGAACTGGAGATTGCAGATCTAGATCTAGACCAAATTGGAGGAATAACAGTAATGATAGCGCTTTTTAAGGTGTAGCATCGCGTAGTGCATTTCAGAATTGCTTGGGAGTGGTTTTTAGGACAAAATCAGCCTTTGCGTAGTACCTAGAGAGTTAAATATGGAATTCTGTAGTTTAATAGACTAGGTATATCTTAGAATATTACGCCACTGGTCTCTGGCCGAGATCGACCCAAATCTGGCCCGTGAAACGCGATCCCAACACCCCGATGAAGCGCCATAAGTGCCCCCGGCTCTTTCACCCCACCCACATAGAATTTGATCTCCCCTGGCAGCACATCAACCCCACGCAAAATCGGGAATTATGGACCGATGGAAATTATAACTTTGGTATTATTACACCATGAAACGCCTGGCCAAAATCGTTTTCGCGACGCAACGTTTACGTGGACTCGCACTGTTACTCTGTTAACAAACTCAATGGAAAAATGACGATCACAGCGGGTAAGCGCGGTAATCATTTCCTTAGATTGTTCATATTCAATCTAATTTGTTTCATTTTTGATTTCCCGTCCATGGCCCATCCCATATAACTCGCTGAAAAAGCCCAAATGCTCCGGTTGCTTCCATCCTCCCGGAGCCCCGGAAAACAGCTGTAGATCCCTCTTATATCCCCCAAATCGACCCTCAAAAGAAAAAGAAGAAGTTAGCACAGCCGTTCCATTCGTTGCCCGGAGCTCCCAAGATTTGAGACATATGTTCCCCCAAATACCCTTCGTTTCGCCGGATATTACCCCGGGTCGATCGTTCACCCGGGCCTGGGGCTAAAAACGATCTGACCCGTTTTCTCGGGTGTGGATAGGTGCGTTCCGCAATCTGACTGGCCTGGCCTCGTAGCGCTAGCTGTAACATGGCCGTGTTTTGTCACCGGAGCCAGTCGGGGGGAAAGGAAAAGGAGAAGCCGGGAGTACTACCAAGTCTAGTTGTTCGTTGGGGAGGGGGATCAGGAACTGGGATATTGATGATTTTTAGGTGATCATCGATTCTAATTTACGAATTGGGTCGGCTAGCAAAGAAATTTGCGGATCTAAGGACAAAAGGAAAGTTTTTGAGAGCGACGCAAAGCTAGACAAGCTCTCAGAAACAGCACAGTTAGCAAAAATTCTTGAGGTTCGTACGGGTCAGATTAGGTCAATTGGCTTGAAGCCTTCTGCAAAAATTCTGGAAGAACAAGGCAACCTAGCATCGACTATTGAGGAAACCTAGCAAGATTTTCTAGAAACTCGGGTAGTTAGCAGAAACCTTTGAGGATAGGGTTAGCCTAAGGGTGAGTCCTGAGGGACAGCTAGCAAAGATTTCTCGGCAGCATAGCAGATAACCGTTGGTGGCGGGAAACCCCAGTAGAGATTTTTGGTGGAAGGGGGCAGCTAGCAGAGATTTACCAGGAGCAAGCAAACCGAGAAGAGATTTTTTCGGATCCAGGCAGACTAGCAGAGATTTTTGAGAAAAACAGCCACGGAAAGGCCTTAGCGTCGAGGCCTTTCGCAAAGATTTTTGTGAACCCGGCAATCTAGCAGAAAACTTTGAGGATGCAAGCGGTCCGCGGGAAGCTGTCACGGTCAGTGCTCTCTAGCAAGGGTTCTTGAGGATCGAGCGTTTGCGTTTTCTAGTCGGCAGGATAAAACAGTCATCGAATGCCCATAAAATGCGATCGTTTCCGCCATGACCTTGGTTGATCTAGCATCGCTCCCATATTTCACGGGGATTCCGCAAATTACCCTATCTCTCCCCACCCGAAACCTCCAATATTTATCGTCAGTGATTAGCCCCCAAAATGTACTTCCATTCCTCAGCCCCTAGACACTACCGACCGACTTAATGGCAACCCCATTTCACCTTGTTTTTTCTGAGAGGGGGCTTGAAGTAGGCTTTTTTGCGGCGGGGAAGTGGTTGTGCTTGGAGGGGAGAAAGATGGACGGGTTGGTGTCATCGGCTCGTCACTCCAAACGGCCCAAAAGACCCGAAATTATGCCCACTAACCACTGTTAAGAGAGAGAGAGGGGAGAGAGAGAGCGAGAGAGAGCGAGTGAGAGCGAGAGAGAGAGGCGAGAGAGAGAGCGAGAGAGAGAGAGAGAGAGAAGGACATCCCCATAACTCCCTAAAAATTGTTTAAGGTACAGTAGCGGTCAAAAGATGTCCCCTCGGGAAATCCTTTGGTGCTCGTAAACCATAGGCCCAAATTTTATGAAACGTCGTGTCTAGGTCAATTTTGATACGGAGAATTCGATGGTGAACTTGAAATCGACTGAAAATTTTATTTTAGTGATCAAACATTAATTTCTAAAAAACCGGTAAAATTAACTTTTTCCTGAGGGATTTTCGGGTTTCAAAAATGTGTCCATCGTGTTCGCAAGGGTCGAAAACCTATCTCGAACATGTTTCAAAACATTTATCTCTTTGGGGTTCGCTACTATGAGGCCGAGAAGTTGGCGCCGCGGGGCGCTTTCTTGGCGCCGTAAGCCTATCCAAAGTATTTTGGCCCGCGCGACAGCAACTTTCGGCCGTCAGTATGGTCAGGTCCTGGTAGAAAAAGTGTCGTAAAATCACGGACTAGTGGTTTTCGACCCTGGCGAACACGATGGACACATTTTTGAAACCCGAAAATCCCACATTAAAAAGTTTATTTTTACAGTTTTTTTGAAATTTAAGTTTGACCATTAAAATCAGATTTTCAGTAGATTTCAATGTTGCCATCGGATTCTGCGCAGCCGAATTGACCTAGACACGACGTTTCATAAAATTTGGGCCTGTGGTTTACGAGCACCAAGCGATCTCCCGAGGGGACATCTTTTTGACCGCTACTGTATCTGCAGGAGAATCAGTGCGAGTGAGAAAGAGAGAAAGAGAGAGCGGGAGAGAGAGCGAGAGAGAACAAGCGAGAGCAATCTAGAGAGAGTGAGGGCGAGAGAGAAATACCAAGAGAGAGAATGTCCACGACAAAGAATGACAGATCTTGAAAAAAATCGTTTACGATCCAAAACGATTTTGGATCCAAAAAAGGTATCCAAAAAAATCGATTTTTTTGGAAGAATTACCATACTCACCCCAAAATAAACTCTCCGGCCGGCTGGCAGTATTATGTCGAGACACGGTAGCTGAGGGCGGTTTACTCGCCGGCCTCGACGGCGGTCTCGACGGATTCCTCCAATATGAAGGCGGAATATACACCGAGGACAGTACGCGTTGCAACGCCTCCGGATCGGCCAGTACTTGGCTAGTGGAAGTAATTGATGGCCTTCCCTTTCCAATAGATACCGCGGACTCTCGCCTTGTTCTTCTTGGACCATCGGATGGTAATGAGCTATGCGGGGTAAGGGTAAGCCTACGGTAGCTGTATGCGGCACCAGTGGAGCCCATCTTCCGGGTTTACTGTACGGAATGTCTCGGAATTCAGGGGGTAAATGGTTCCGTGGTTTTCATTTGTTGATAGAGAGCGCAGATAGTTTTCGATAAGCTTCAATCGGACCCAAAGACCACCGGTTTTTAGGCAAATTCCGCGCCAGGGCTCTGGGTGTCAATAGGAATGTAGCGTAGCGTGGCGACGACTTGACCTCTTCACCAGGATTTTACCGGATTTTCAGGGGCAAAACTGACGTTTGGTGGAACTTGTTCAGGTTTGAAATGGTCGGATTTGACCGGAAACCGGAAGGATTGAATAGCCCGGAAATCAAGAAGGTCCGAAAAACAAAATTTGTAGAAAAATACGGTAGCAATTTCGAAGATTTAGCGATCAAAAATCGCTTGGAAACGTGATAAAAAATAGTAAAAAACGTAGTTTAGAATCTTTTAGTGCCGTAGTGATCCGGAAATACGGTAAGTATACTGTAGAAATACAAATTTCCGGACTGTTTTGGGAGTATTCTAGCGTAGCGTAGCTTTCCGGAAATTCGGGCAAAAGTTGGACGAACCAAGTGATTGAGCTTTTTTTGGTATTGCCGGAAACACCGTTATAAAGCAAATAGTGCTCTAATAATCGAAAGGTAGTGTATACTAATTCGTTTTTGGGTAATTACGGTATCTTAGCAGCT